TTTCTCTCTTTTTTATTTTATATCCTTATGTAATGAATGCATTTATGGTTTAAAAAGTATTTCATGTTATTTATTCTGAAATTAATTTATAAATTATCTTAATTTCTTAAAATATATTTGAAATTAAAAATATTATTTAAGACAAATTAAATATGTATTATCAAAATAAGATATTTACTTTCTTTAGATAATTTTATAGCGATATCGGGTAAAAAATCGATAAAATAAAATAATATTTGTTTTGAATTTATTTTCTTGATAAAAATAGGTGATTTTTTTTTAAACCCTAAATGCATTAGGTGAATATATAAAATTAAAAAAATAGAATACTTATTTTAAATTTTATTTTTAAAATTTTTTATTTTCATAACCACAAGGTATTTAAGTGAAAAATTTTCTAACCACAATGTATCTAAGTGAAAGTTTGAAACACGAGGGGTTAAATGATAAATTTTTTAAGCACAATGAGTTTAAGTGATAAATTTAAAACCACAAGGGGTCAAATGATAAATCACAAAATTAAGGATAAGAGCCACTGTTTTCGAAACACAAATCGTCTATGCTGTTTATACTTAATGGGTGAACTTTGTCTCTCTTCCCCGTTAATATTTGATTTTTGAACATATATTAAAGTGATAAATCTGTAATGGCAAATACTGAGAGGTAAAAGGTAACACTAGAGTGAGTATACCCAAAAAAATAAAAAAATAAGAGTAACATTATATATATTATTTGGAAGACTTCCTCTTATGCAGAGAAAATTTCAAATTTATATAATCACTTAATCACGTTATGTTTAAGAGAAAAGTGTTTGTCATTTTAAATGATATAAAGTTATGTCATTTTAAGAGAGAGATAGACACAAGAAAATATTTTTTATTTAAAATTTAAATTAAACAAAAAACCACTCACTTTCTCTCCCGTGATTTTCAGTTCTTGTGTCTATCTCTCTCTTAAAATGACATAACTTATGTCATTTAAAATGGCAAACACCAAACTCTATGTTTAATCAGTTTAGTGTAGTAAATGAAGAGTTTTTAATTTTATGGTGTTGGATATAAAATTATTCAAGAGTTTAAAATAATGGTGGATTGGAGTCTACTATTGGCTTTAATTCTTGATTTTACTGTTATTCATCATTAATAAATTCATGAATTAAAGTATTTAATGGATTATATTATGTCAATGGAGTAAATATAATCTCACATAAGGTTAAAAGAATGAAAGGGCAAGTAGGTAAATTAAAATACACAAGATTCCTCAATTTGTGAGGATATGGGTGAAACTTGAAAGTTGATTGTATGGTATTTATACAAACAATTTATTTTTTAGATTCAAACCATGATGTTTCGATCATAAAGAACAATTTTATCGCTGCTACAAGACTTGTACATAAGATTATAGGAATATATAATACATTTTCTCACCTTATAATTTAAGTTTTTGAGTCATTTAATTGAAACTTTTTATGCTAATGAATTTACACATAATTATATAGCAAAATTGGCATGAAGAAATTACTTATACTATTAAATAAGTTGTTAATATTGTAATTGTAATATTTTAATCATGATAAGTATTTAATTATCTAATCAAGTATTAACTATCAATTTCATAAAATGATACCTGATGCAAACAAAATATGAATTCATTGCTTACTAAAAAAAAAATATGAATTCGTCATTAATAAAGAGATTAAAAAAAAGTGAAAAAAAAATATTTTTATGAATAAAAAAATCATCTAATATGTCAAAATGAATTATATGATATCTCTTCATTATTTTTTATTAACACAAGTAAACATTATCAAAGAAAATTGGTCCAACATATGAATGATTACAGGCCCAATCTTATATCCTTCATCATAAAACAAGCACCATCAAGGTAACTTAATTAATAATAACAAAGCCACACTGCTGAGCATATCATAGTTAAATGTCTTTACCAATGGAAAAGCCTTCACTCTAAGGCCATCTCACCCACATACATGTGCATGCGACCTTGCTGCCAAAAGCTTATGTCATCTACTTGTTAGGATTAGTCATACGAACTTTTAGTTGGTCTCTCATGAACTATGAATAAGGATACTTAAATCTTATCTTAAGGTACATATTTTTGTTCCATTTACTAAAATTAACTTAAATTAATACTTATTTAAGTGTTGGAATATCTTTTATACATTTTTATATGTTCCATTGAAAACAAACAAAATAACAACTTCAAATCACCATTTGAGGCTCAGCTTCATGTTACACTCTACCTGAGCGACAGGTTAGAGAGAACGAACGAAAACAAGAAATGGGTTAAAACTTTCAATATTATTCAATCAATGCCTTTCTGTTACACTGTTCCTTTCCTTTTATATCTTTTACAACAACTAACTAACTCCCCTAATACATTGCTGCCATGTGTACTTTACTCCCTTATTTCCTACACGTGGTCCTTATGACTACATTTATGTATCACTATGCATCCCTATACAACTAACAGTAATGGTCCCTTAATCTGGAAGATGGGACTCTCTCCCTACGTGGGTGTACATCTCCATTCGTAACACACCCCCTCTCTTCGACCAAAACCTTGTCCTCAAGGTTAAGCTCTGGATAGGCTTTCCTTAATTCAGTTTCTTGTTCCCACGATGCATCCTTCGGAGGGGATTCTGACCATTGGACTAAGAATTCCCGTAGCTGCTGCCCATGACTGGAAACCACTCGAGTATTTAAAATTGCAACAGGTATTTGAACAGGCTTGTTATCCACTGTAAATGATGGCATAAAAACTGGTTTGTCTGGTGGAGGGCCAAACCACGACTTCAGCATCGACACATGAAACGTGGAATGGATTTTTCTTCCTGCTGGTAGTTGTAGTTGATAAGCCACATTGTTGATGACTTTAATGATTTTAAAAGGGCCAAAGAACCTTTTGGCCAGTTTGTGGCAGCTCCTGCGTTCCACTGAGACTTGACGATAAGGCTGTAATTTCACCCAGACAAAGTCTCCTTCCTGAAAAATCTTCTCACGCCTATGTCTGTCAGCTTGAATTTTCATTCGGTTGTGGGCTTGTTGCATATTCTTCTTAAGACTAGAAAGTAGTATATTACGTTGATCTAACATAAAATCAACTGCTTCCACTCGCACCATATCTCTGGGATAAAATGGAATAAGTGTAGGACACTTGCCAAATAAAGCTTGGAATGGTGATACTCCAATAGCTGAATGTATGGCTGTGTTGTGATGAAATTGAGCCCAACAAAGCATCTTGGACCATGACTGTGGTTGTTCATGACAAAAAATCCTCAAATATTGCTCAACATATTAGTTTGTGACCTCTATCTGTCCATCCGTTTGTGGATGGTAAGATGTACTTGTTTTTAGTGTTGTGCCACTAAACTTGAACAGAGCTCTCCAAAATTGACTCAGGAAGATCGTGTCTCTGTCAGAGATTAAAGACTTTGGGAAACCATGATTGCGGACTACCAATTCGCAAAACAGTTGAGCTACTTTTTCTGCTGTAAAGGAGGTAGGCAACCCACCAAAATAGGCATATTTAGTAAGTCTATCAACTGTAACCAGAATCGTGGAAAGTCCATTGGAAAGTGGTAGGCCCACAATAAAATCCAATGTCAGATCTTCGAATACACCATCTGGTATAGGTAAAGGTTGCAGTAGACCATATGGAGCTTGAGTCATAGTCTTCATCTGTTGACAGATTTGGCATTGATTGACATAATCCTTAACCTATTTTCGCATCTTATCCCAATAGAAAGAAGAAGAAATTCGCAGCAAGGTGCGAAGCACTTCAGCATGTCCCCCCACCTGAGAGTCATGAGCCTCACATATAATCAGTGGAATTAATTTGGATTGTGAACTGAGCAGGATTCTCTGTTTATGAAACAGAACTCCATCCTTGACTGAGATCAATGGTAGGGAACAAGGATCATCTGTTAACTTCTGATGTATAGACTTTAAGTAGTTGTCTTATGCATTCTCAACTTGTACCTGATTGATCAACTCAAAAGAAGGTTCCACTCGTATAACATTCAATTCACTGCCTTCTTCCAGACTTCGGGACAGACCATCAGCTATTACATTCAATTTGCCAGGTTTGTATTCTATGGTAAATGAGTATCCCATTAACTTGCACACATATTTCTGTTGCTCTAATATTTGCACAGTTTGTCCCAACAATTCCTTGATACTCTTGTGATCTGTCCTTATTATGAAATGAACACCTAACAAATATTGCCTCCATCGTTTCACTGATTCACCTATGGCATATAATTCCTTGACATAGGTTGAAGCCATAGTCAACCTTGGACCTAGCCGTTTGCTGAAAAAAGCTATGGGCTTCTCCTGTTGTAGCAACACAGCCCCTATACCAGTATTGGAAGCATCAGTCTTTAGCACAAATGGGATCTAGAAATCTGGTAAGCTGAGTATTGGAGTGTGAACCATTGCCTGTTTCAAGTGATCAAAGGCAGTTTGAGCCTCCTCAAACCACACAAAGGCTCCTTGTCTTAAGAGATCTGTCAAAGGAGCTGCTATGGTGGCATATTGTCTCACAAATCGCCTATAATATCCAGTGAGCCCCAAGAAGCCCCTCAGTTGCTTGACAGTTCTAGGTAATTGCCAAGACAACATGGCTTCAATCTTCTTCTCATCGGCATGAACACCTTGCTGTGACACCTTGTGTCCCAAATATTATATCTCTCCTACTCCAAAGGCACACTTACTCAACTTAACAAAGAATTTATGCTGGTGCAAGCATTGCAATGTCAAACTAAGATGTTGAACATGTTCATCCATTGCTTTGCTATAAAACAAGATATCATCAAAAAACACGATGATGAATCTTCTCAGAAATGGTTTGAATATCTGATTCATTACGGCTTGGAAGGTGCTGGGGGCATTTGTCAAACCAAATGGCATAACCAAGTATTCATAATGTCCCTCATGTGTTCTAAATGCAGTTTTAGACACATCCTGTGGAAGCATTCGTACTTAATGATATCCAGCTCTCAGATCGAGTTTGGAGAATATAGCTGATCCATCCAATTCATCCATCAATTCATCTATTGTTGGCATTGGAAATCTATCCCGAATTGTGATTTTATTTAATGCTCTGTAATCCATACATATACGCCATGAATTATCTTGCTTCTTTACCAGTAAGATTGGGGAGGAATAAGGACTGTTACTTGGCTTAATGAATCCAGATTCAAGTAAATCAGAAACTTGTTTTTCAATTTCCTCTTTCTGATGATGTCCATAACAATATGGTCTCACATTGACTGGTTTCACTCCCTGCTCTAAATGAATTGCATGTACTGTGTCTCGAAAGGGTGGCAATTCTCTTAGAATAGTGAAAACAGATTGGTATTGCAAAAGAATTGGCCACAACAACTCATTAACAGTAGGCTTTAAAAGTAATAATTCTGCACTGACCTCATTGGTAGTTGATGGTGGTGCCTCCTGTTGCATTGCCCAATACTCAGCTTGGTCATGCTGGATTAATTCTTTGTCAGCTGTTGTTTTTAGAGCTGTAAGTTGAACATCTTTGTCCTTCCATTTGAACTCCATTTCCATTTGATGGTAATCATGTGTCACTTTGCCTAACTGCTCCAACCAGCATATTCCCAAAATCAAATCCAGCTTCTCAAGGTTCAACACCCATAAATCAACTACAAACTCCTCTCCATGTATCCACATGTGTACCTCTCTGCATTTATGGTCACAGAGCATAAATTCCCCATTGCCAAGGAATACTCTCATCCTTTTAATACGAGTCATATGTAACCCCAACTCATTGGCTAATTCTGTTTTGACAAAATTATGCGTACTTCTCGTATCAACCAGAATAGGTATGGCTTTCCCATGTATGTGAGCTAAAAATTGGAAAGCCTTATTGAATGTGCCTCCTGACAAGGAATGTAAGGCTGCATCCTCTTTCACCAAGCCTTGTGAATTCCAAACCATGTTTTCTTCCTCTTCCCCATCTTCATCTAGATCCTCACCCACCATGAGTAACATTTTACTAGGACACCTATGTTTAGAGGTCCATTTGTCATCACAAGTGAAACACAAACCCAACTCCCTCTTACGGCTCATCTCCTCATTCGACAATTTCCTGAATGGAATTTTTGGTACTGCTGAAGATGTATTTGCTGTTGAGGATACTGCATTGGAAGCAACAGAAGTGGCTAAACCCGTAATTGTTCCACTGGTTGTCTCATTGGAGTGAAAAGCACGATATGGACCCTTCTTTGTTCCTGAATGCAATGATACTTTAACTCCGAAAAGTGGGAATCATATACTGTGGCTAGTTCCATAGCCTGTTGTAACGACTTAGGATCATGGATTTCTAATGCCCTTCGCAAATCAGGTATAAGCCCAGACACGAAGAAGCTAAGTAATAAATCTTCACTTAGGTTCTGTGTTTGGTTCATTAATTTTTCAAACTCCCAGAAATAATCTTTCAACGAACCTTGTTGGGATAATTTGGAAAGATTACCCGTTACATGCTTCTGTGGTAAGACTCCAAAGCATTGACACAAAGCTGTAACGAAGTCTGTCCACGAACGAACAGTGCCACTCCGAAATTTCCATTGGAACAACGAGGAAGCCGTACCATCCATCCTCAAACCGGCTAATTGTACCTTCAACTCTGGTGGAACTCTCTGCAAATCGAAGAACAGTTCTATTTTGAAAATCCAATTATCTGGGTTTGTACCATCAAATAATGGAATTTCCATCTTCACAAACTTCAACAACGAGCGTGGATCCACAACCTCTTTGTTTCCTCTATCATTGTGAAAATTTCCCCCTTCGGACGACAGTGACTGCATCACTGATTCCTGTTGACTCTCCTGTGAAACTTGCGAACGCGATTGCAAAGCCACCATAGAATCATTCATTTGCTGCATCTGAGCCACCAATAGTGCAATTTGATTCTGCGATTCCTCCAAACGTTTATGCAGTGACGCTACTTCATCTGCAACTTCCTGAACCCTCATCGTGAGATCAATAATGAAAGCACCAATGTTACACTCTACCTGAGCGACAAGTTAGAGAGAACGAACGAAAACAAGAAATGGGTTAAAACTTTCAATATTATTCAATGAATGCCTTTCTGTTACACTGTTCATTTCCTTTTATATCTTTTACAACAACTAACTAACTCCCCTAATACATTGCTGACATGTGTACTTTACTCCCTTATTCCCTACACGTGGTCCTTATGACTACATTTACGTATCACTGTGCATCCCTATACAACTAACAATAATGGTCCCTTAATCTGGATGATGGGACTCTCTCCCTACGTTGGTGTACATCTACATTCGTAACACTTCATCAACAATATATAAATTAGTCCAGAAATTCTAGGCTGATCAATTTTCTCGTTACATTTATAACAAAAAAAAACCATCCTGAAATTTTTATTTGTTTTACACTTCAAAATATTTTTCAATATAAAATTATTTAAAATAATTTGATTAGATTTTTTTTAAAAAAAGAATCCGAACAAGTATTAAATATTTTACATTTCAAATTAAAAATTCACTGTTCCAAATATAAATTTAAAACAACTTATACAACTCATGAGTAAAAGAAGTAGTCAGTATAGTAATTTGATATATTGACATTATGCTCCAGACTCTCCTTAAAGAAAATACATATTTTTAATCACACATCAAAAGAGTATAAGTGAAAAAACAAAAAACAAAAACATTGTTGGATAAGGCATACACATACTTGAAGCTTTTATTTTCTGAATAATTCGAGTAAGTCCCGCGAAAGCTTTATAACATCACAAGTTTACCATTATAATAATTTGATAAAAATAATTCATATAATTATAATTAAATAAGATATAGTTTTGATTTACTATATATAAATTTTAGGCTTGCAATTTCTGATATTGTATGAGAAATTGAAGCGTTTCTTACATAGAGAAAAAAGGGTGAGACCTATTTTGAAGAAAAAAAAAATAGTTGACACAGATATCGAAATAAAAATGGTAGAAGAAGATATTTTTCATGTAACATGAGAAGTCTTTTTTTCCTAAATTTTAAATTATTATTTGACAAAAAAATATTATTTTTGTGTAATAAAATCAAATAATAATAGAAAAGGGTTTGCAAATCCCAAAAAAATATGGAAATGGATCCTCTAATGTGAGAAAAAATATGACATGGTCATGTGAGAAGATCATAACCATACAAAAGTAAATCAACGGTTTGATTTTGTAACTACCTATTTTAATATCTCTCTCCTTCTTTGTTACCATTGATCTACCTTTGTATGATTATAATTTCTTACATAACATGGTTATTTGATTTTTCACAGATCCAAATCCAAAAAATATATATGAAATTTTGGGCTGTTTAACAGGCCCATCAAGCCCTGGTAGCCACGCCAGTTTGTTTCGTTTTCTGCAGAGTTCAGCGAAAGAAAGCTAGGGTTTTTGGTTTTGCTTCTGCGTCTGCGTCTGCGTCTGCGTCTGCGTCTGCGAAAATGACCAAGTTCAGGAAGCTGGGTCGACCCACCGGTCACCGCATGTCCATGCTCAGGTTCATAATTTCAATTCAAAGCTCCAATTTCTTCATTTTTTGTTTGCGAAGGTGCTGAATTGAGGGTACTTAAATCCCATTTGGTTTTCCTTATTTAGAACCATGGTCTCGCAGTTGGTGAAGCACGAGCGCATTGAAACTACTGTTGCCAAGGTACTAACAAAAACGACCATAGCCATGTGTTTCATTTTTGTTTTAAGAACGTATCGTTTACGACTTTGTGAATTTCAAATATAAGATGTTTGTAATTTGGTTGTAGGCAAAAGAGATAAGAAGACTTGCGGATAATATGGTACAGCTTGGAAAGGAGGTTTGTAACAAATAAGTCATTGTGCAATTTAATATAAAAGCCCCTTCATTTGTTGGGTTCTACGTCACGTTTGTCTATAATACATGTTGAATTGAATTAATTTGCAAAATGGTATTAATTTTTAACTAGTGCACCAGATTATTTTTTATTCAATTCTGGCTTAAGAATATTGAATTAAGTGGTTGATTGATGCCATGGAGTTATGGAAACATGATGCCTTTTGTGTTTGCTAAAGTTGTGCTTCATGTGAGGTTGAGTTCAGCTGTTTTACTTAACTTCAAGAGTACACTTTGAAATTTATTGAAGCTCTGTGTTTGTTATTGGTAACTATTGAAGTGCTTAGTATGGTTGCCAATGTTGCCAAATGTCAATGGCAGCCACCACCATGATTGAATGGCATGGTGGGTTTTGGTCCTGCTACCATGCAAATGTCTTGGTATGCAGGGTTGGAACCCGAATATAAGGTTCGGAGGGGCAAAATAAAAGTTTTAATTTTAAATGTTAATTTTTCCCCCGCTGGTATGGCGGGTTGCTCATTGCAGCGCCATGCAAATGGATGCTATTGACACTGCGACCATTAATTGGCAGTAGCAGATGAGAAATTGCTTGTCTTTCCTCATTTTAAAATTTAAACCAATTGGCTTCTAATTTTTAGGGCAAGTTAGGTTTACATGCCAATTTTTTCTGAACATACTTCACCTTTTTTTTTTAGATTTGTATTCTTAGTTTTATTCTCCACAATGAGGGCAAAGGGCAAGTGGGGGATTCTTATTTGTGTTTTCTTTCCCATTATCACTTGTACATTTGAGTTTATGAAACTTGGTGTAGTGAACTTGTTCTTCTATGATTAGTTAATTTGCATAAAAGCATTATTATGTTTTCTGTTCTTGATATGAACTATTATATCTAATTATTTACTTTCCATGAGCATGTTTATTACAGTTTACACTTGTCTGACATGACTGCTTTTTTCTACTATTAGTTGCCATGCCATATGTCATAAAACTATGGCTGATTTTTGGCCTGCCACCATATGCCATTTACTACACTGCTGGTGTTGTGTCAAAGTGCTTAGGAATTCAGTTTACTAGAATTAGATAAATGTGGAAAATTTTGTTTGCCCTGGTCTTGAGAATAAACTTATTAGCAGGGAACCGGCCTATCTTCTGGAGAGGACTTGCGCGGTGATTGGAAGAAAGACACATTTAATTTTAACAAATATCCTTGATCATGAGACATATAATTATCACTGTAAATAAGAACCAGAATACCTACAGTAGTGATTAATATTGACATAATAGAAGTAAGCGAATCAAAAACCATTTCTTATATTTAGCTTGACAACTTGGATTGGCCTATAGTTTATTTTATTAATTGTTTTAGGGATCCCTATGTGCTGCAAGGCGTGCTGCTGGTTTTGTGCGAGGAGATGATGTCCTTCACAAGCTGTTTACAGAACTGGCTTATCGGTACAAGTAAGTTTGACTAAACCTTGTATAATTTCAGTTGCCAGTTTATGTCTTTAAGTTGTAAGACTGAACAGACATTATGTGATGCAGGGATAGAGCAGGTGGATACACTAGGTTGCTTCGGACCCGTATAAGAGTGGGTGATGCTGCACCAATGGCCTATATCGAGTACATCACTAATTTTTTTTTATATTCATTAGTTTATCTTTTTTTCGGTTCTGTTATTTGGCTAACCCAGCTGGATTCACTATAAGAAGTGGCTGTTTTCTCTTTGGTCTTGGTATTGCCTGTCTGCCTAATCTATTGTGTTGTTAGTTTAATCTTTCTAATCTTCCAGGTTGCTTAGAATGAGGAGATTGAGATTGGAACATTTTGTTAAATTTTTTTAATATTCCTTGGAACAGGTTCATTGACCGAGAAAATGAGCTTAGGCAGTCAAAGCCACCAACTCCTCAACCACCACAGAGAACACCCCTTGATCCCTGGACACGATCTCGTCTCAGCAGGCAGTTTGCACCTCCTAAAGAGGATAAATCTGAATCGGATTTGTGATCCGTTCAAATGTAATGCTGATACTGTGTTTTTTTCCCCATTGTGAGATATCTGAATTTTGACCTTGTTTTTTTTATCTATCTCCTAATGGCTTGCAAAAATATAATTATTTTCTGCCTTATACTTGAAGAAAGTGTTCATTGCTATGTAAAAATAATTTGGCTCATTGTAATCGAGAAGGGAACAGAAAAATCACAGAACTATTTTCACTTATATGTCTGTCTCTCCCCTAGAGTTTTGGTGCTGTGCTTTTTGTCTATTTGTTTTTATTGGAACTTAAATTAGTTTTATTGTAATACCAGAAAAAGGAACTGTATTCAGCTTAAAAGGGAATCGACTTGTCCTTCAATTTGACTTGACAATAGTTCTGAAGGTTTTTTACCTTGTGTACCTTTAAGCCTAAATGAAGAACTTATTACGCCACCTCATACTGTTCCCCCTTCCCCCTTTTTAAAAAGAGGCCGAGCTTAAATTAAAGTTGTTTGATTGCAACTACATTCCAGTGGTATTCTACATCTGAATAACTAAATTGTTACGTTTGGCAGTTGAAAATCCTATAAAGGATGCGGTGCTCTGTTTGCCTATGCGTTTTCCATAAATTCCAAATGACTTGCAAGGCAATGTGTGTGCCAGGAAGCAATTAATTACAACGCTTGTCATACAAGAAAAGATAGAGAAGCGTGCATGCTCAGGAACATAATAAAGATTAATTGAAGCCAGTAACATGAGCCTTTTTATAAGTACGAAAATCAAGCTGAAATGTCTTTGAACGGTTGAACCTTCATAATGAATTTGTGTTTCCCTATGTTTTGATTAATTAAGAATATGTATATGGGAAAGGGAGTGGATTTTCTCATGTGAAAAAGTGGTCATGTGGTCATGTTATTTGATCACAATCACTCATTGATGATGAGAGAAAAAGAAAAGTGTATAATCTTTAAATGAGTGATTGTGATCAAATAACATGAACACATGACCATTTTTCCACATGAGAGGATCCACTCCCTGGAAAACATTTTTTCATGTTGTGGGAGAGTTGTTTTTTCTTACTAGTGACTTTTCGATTTTCGTACAATATTTTCTTTTATTTTTTATTTTTTTTAATAGATGTGAGCTCCATATAAGATGTGTCTACAACATGAGAAAATTTTCTCCTACCACATGATAAAATTGAAACTCTATGTATATATACCAAAAACTATAGGGAAAATATGCCGTTCCTATAATCTAACCCTTCGTGTTCACACATTCGACATTGTATTGGGTTTGATGTTACAACAGTAAACCCTAGCTTTGCAATAACAGGAAAATACCAACAAAGAGAACCTTATGCTAGAGGTCGCATGGTAAGGTCATGTGAATGCAGAGGGAGCTCGCGTAATCATGGAGCAACATGTAGCCTCTCTTTTCCTTTCTTTCTTTTCTCTTGTTTTTTTTTTTTCTTTTTTTTTTCTTTTTCTCTGCTTTTGGATCAAGTTTCCAATCCTTTCTAATGGACAAGTAACGAAGTGGGCAAAGTTTTCAAAGTGGTCCTATTCTAACATACTCACGTGTCAAAACTCAACCTTAGCCAACAATGAAAAACAAATGTATAAAACTGAGAAGCACATAATATTCTACGCTACAATCCACAAGCATGCAAGAATGAAACCTTTACAGTTGAGTTGCTTTGCTTGCAATACAGTATGCTTACTGCCTCACGTCTCTGTATTCCTTTATTTTTCTTCTTTCTATAAAGAATAAAGAATTCCATATCTATCAATATATATATATATATATATATATATATATATATATATATATATATATATATATATATATTCTTTTTACACTAGTGTAATATTAATAAGTCTCACATCTCAGCTGTTGATGGACAGAAATCATCAGTTGTTATTTGTAATGTAATTAATGATTAATTAATATTAATTAATTCGTATGACTTCTTAAATTATAACTGTTCTATGCACGGAAATTAATGATTGAGATGCGGTGTAAGACTTATTAATCTTACACCGATGTAAAAAGATCATGCCCCTATATATATATATATATATATATATATATATATATATATATATATAATAAGTCTTACATCATATCTTAACCGTTTATTTTCGGGTATCTAATGATTATGATTCATTAAAAATTAATAATTAATTAATAAGTGTAACCCAATAAATCACAATCCTTAGATTCATAGAAATCAACAGTTAAATTTTGGTGTGAGACTTATTATTCTTATACCGATATAAGTTGATATCCCCCTCCCCCCTACACACACACACATATACATATATAAGTCAGGATCATTTTACACTAGTGTAAAAATAATAAATCTTACACTCAATCTTATCTGTTGATTTTCATCAATCAAACGATTGTAATTGATTGAATTATTCTCATTAATTATTTATTAATTCCCAATAAATTACAATCGTCAAATTTACGAAAATCAACAGTTAAGATTGGGTGTAAGATTTATTATTTTTTCATCGGCGTAAGAAGACCATGCCCCTAATATACATACATATATATATATATATATATATATATATATATATATATATATATGGGCAAGATATTTTTACACCGATGTAAGAGTTAGAAGTCTTACACTTAATGTTGAGCATTAATCTACTTGTATCCAATATCTCACATTACTAAAAAATTAGAGCCCTTAGATATAAGTGAGATCAATGATCAAGATTGAGAGTGTAACTTACACTGGTGTAAAATTATTCTAACATATATATATATATATATATATGGGAGGGGTTATATTGATAAACTTTTTTCTTACAAACAATACTAAGTCTGACTGGTCAGACTTCAATCAACAGACTTAGTGTAGTTTGTAAGAAAAAAAAGTTGGTCCTATATATATATATATATATATGGCTTATCGTTTCTCAAGTTGCTTGAGATAATCTTATCTCCGGCTACTAAATCATAACCGTACAAAGATGGATCAATGGTGATAGAGGAAGAGAGAAAAAGAGAATCATAACCATTCAAAGGTGAATCAATTAATATAAGGAAATAAATAAATAAAACGACGTAGTTTTGGGGTAGCCGGAGATAAACTTATCTCAAGCTGCTTGAGAAATATTTTTCCCATATATATATCGAAAATATTTTTCTTATGTTGTTGGAGATGAGTTATCTTATGTTAGTGAAATAAAATTATAAGAAGGACCCACAAATGATTTGAGAGAAAAAAAATAGAGGTGAGACCCATCTTTGTTATGTGTGTGTAGGAAGATGTGTTATCTTATGTTGAATGAGATAAATATAACCTTATATATATATATATATAGGAAAAAAATGAAAATTCAGTCACTGGACCGTCTAGTGCACTAAGTTCTCCTGGGAGAACACCTGGAGAACATAGTTATAATATTTATTATAACTATATTCTCGCAGGAGAACTTAGTGCACTGGACCGAATTTTGTATCCAGTCACTGTACACTCACTAAACCCATATATATATATATATATGTGAAAAATATTTTCTCATGTTGCATGAGAATTCAATTCTCATGTTGTGACCATTCGATTTGCGTTCAAACTTTTTCTTTACTTTATCTTTTTTTAATAAATATGGGATCTACCACTAACTGAGTCACAACATGAGAATTCAATTCTCATGCAACATAAGAAAATCAAATCACACACACACATACATATATATATATATATTTAAGGGAAGGATCCGTTTACAAACTTTTTTGAATTTTTTTTACAAATTACACTATGTTCTCCCGAGAGAACATAGTGGAACTAGTGTTCTCCCGGGAGAACATAGTGTAGTTTGTAAGAGTTTGTAAACAAAAATGTTTGTAAATATAACTTGCCCTATATATATATATATATATATATATATATAGGGGTAAACATTTCTACAGCAACTTTAGATAAGCTTATCTACAGCTGTCATTTTTAACTATATTCTCTCGGGAGAATATAGTTATAACGTTAAAGTTGCTCTTTTCTCTCTCTCCACGTCAGAACAAAAGTATTTCTACAGCAACTTTAGATAAGCTTATCTACAGCTGCCATTTTTAACTATATTCTCCCGGGAGAATATAGTTATAACGTTAAAGTTGCTCTTTTTTCTCTCTCCTCATTTACTTTTCAGAACTTTTTTGCTGACGTGGAGAGAGAGAAAAGAGTAACTTTAACGTTATAACTATATTCTCTCGGAAGAATATAGTTAAAAATGGCAGCTGTAGATAAGCTTGTCTAAAGTTGCTGTAGAAATGTTTACCCTATATATATATATATATATATATATATATATATATATATATATATATGGCAAAAGTATTTCTACAGCCACTTTAGATAAGCTTATCTACCGCTACCGTTTATAACTATGTTCTCCCGGGAGAACATAGTTATAACATTAAAAGTTACTTTTTTCTCTCTCCTCAATTACTTTTCAGAACCTGTCTGCTGACGTGGAGAGAGAGAAAAAAGCAACTTTTGCGTTATAACTATGTTCTCTCGGGAGAACATAGTTATAAACGGTAGCTGTAGATAAGCTTATTTAAAGTGGCTGCAAAAATGTTTACCCATATATATATATATATATATATATATATATATATATATATATATATATATATAGATTGAAATGAGGACTAGGTATACGTAGCGATGGGTGCAAGGCTTCCATATTACTGTATGAAATCTACTCTTACCGAGGCAGAGGGAACAGGGGTGGTCAAACTGGTGCAATGTACCTTTGCTGATTGATAAGAAATCTTTTTATTTCGGTTAATAAACATTCTTATTGCAGTATTGACTAATTTTGGTAGTGCTAAGACCATGGGTTTGGTGAAATAGTCTATAAAAAGACACTTAAACGAATGTCATCAATTTTAAGTATGAGTAATTATAATCACGTTATAAGAACGAAAAAGCAGGATAATAATAAACTAGTTCCATGTGTAGTTGTCTTGGCAGCTAATTAGGTGTTTGATGTTGCCAACCAATTTCTTCAAATGGAGATGAAATTCATTAGTGTTAAACACAATGATTAAATTAGAATAAAGATAAGAGTCTTTACCTACTTATGGATATTAAATTAACTAAGTCATGCATTTTTAAGAAAAATATAATTAGGGAGGGAATGCATACCCTGATCATGCATAACAATTCAAGATCAGGGTCCCCAAGTCCTATAGGGCACGATCTAAAAGTAATCACCAAAAGTCTACTTTGTTTATGAAATTATTTTTCTATATTTGAAAAAAAGGAAGATTGTATTGATTATTTTTTTTTATAGACTTAAAAATTATATTATATCTTATCGGTAAGAGTTTATTCAAGAGCATTTTACCGATAAGATATAATATAGTTTGTAAATAAAAATTTATAAATATAACTATTTTTTTTTTAAATTAGTAATAATTAGGTTTTCCTATTTGAGATGGGACAGGGACATGTGGTCACCTTTACTCCAAATCCAATAAACAATTGTTTTCGTTAACCTAATCTCTGTAACTAGCAACAACTCTTACTATAACGACAATTTTTGTTTTTGTTTTTTTAATAAATGCTACTAATAACAAAACTCGATTTAATCATGCTCCAATTACTGGAAAGTTTGATAATTCAAGAGGTGAATGTCAAAAATTCATTTTTTTTTTCTCTCTCTCTCTATGGAAATAGGGAGAGTGCATAGGGAGAGAATTACATATTAGGCACCTTAAGTGTTAAATCATTATTTGTTGGGGTGAATAATTCCGAAAATTTTTAATTGTCATTTGCACTATATATATATATATATTTGTTAGATATCAATCAGTAGTGTCCTAAATCCTAATTAATTCGATTAATCTGATTTCAACTTTGTATCTTTTCACCCTCTTTGTAAATTATGACTCTCAAAAATCTAATCGACTACCCTTTGATAAGATCTTAAAAGCCTAAAGGCCATGCATACTTTGCTAACTATTAACTTCCACATTCATTAAGAGTTCATAAATGATTCATATTATATACTTAAATCAAATTGAAGTGCTACCACGTACGCAAGGCATGTCTTCTAGTAGCTTGTAAACTAAGACTTAATTGTTGATATTACATCAGCAGGAGTCTAAAGTGAAATGGATTTTACTCCGACAATGAAAATGAAAAGAAGAAGAAGAAGAAGAAATTAGGAATAATAAAATAAAAGAAATAGAGAGATGAGGTGGAGTTGGTGACTACCAAAAAAAACTAGAATGAAACTGAAAGAACAAGGAAAAATTCTGAAGGACGTTACTGAATCACTCTGTCTATATTGACTCAAACGCCTCAACTATGCCATCAGTGTCTCTTCGATCTCTTTCTTTCTATTCTTCACAAACCTCTAAAAGGTGTTTTCTTCTCCTCTCTCTCTCTCTCTCTCTGCTAAATCACAACAAGAACATTGTTTCTCTTCTTGGTTTCTGTTTTTCTTCTATACAAGTACAACCAGGTTTTGGCCTCCAGGGGATTTTGTTTAAACCATGTTCTATCTAGTCATTGCCTTTTCCAATTTCTTACACTTCTATGATTCTATCAATTTTTTTTACTTCTTTTATATATACATTAAAAACCAATTCACATAAATATATATTTCACCAGATATTTTCAACTTTAAGATAACAAACACCTTATATCTATCCGTTTTGTTATCCATATGTTGTTATGATGCTGTTTTTGAATATACTTAAAGATGGTTTTCTAGGAGTTCAAGTTTAGTTTTTTGCAGTAGTTGATTGAAACATTTCTTTGTGTTAATCAGTTTCTTTATTGGGGCCTCGATAAATTCATTGAAGTTGGTTCTTCGTTTGTGCAGATCAGATGTTATTGCATGCCCCTGTAGTTGAATAGTTAATATGAGAGGAAAAATGGGTACTTCTCCTCATGCTGTTGAAGCTCGACACCGTTTGCCTGCATCCTTGTGAGTTTCTTCTTCCCTCCCCGCACATTCTGCTTCACCCTTTCTCGTTTATCATGTGCTCATTACAAAAAGTTCCCACATTAGCTTCAATAGTTCCTCCGAAATTCCGAATAATCATTTTTTACTGTTTAGGACCATGAGGTTCACTATTTATTAGTTCTTCAGACATGGATTATGGAATATTGGAATGCAGAGAGCGTCGTTAAGAGGGTACAAGGAAAATTTTTGGTAAATTGAAATTGACAATTCTATTTATTCACGTTTGATATAAGAATTGTTAAAAAATTTTTTTTTGGGAAAATCAAATTTCCAGTGAAATTTTTTGAACCAAAATTTCCAGTAGGATGATATTTTTAGATTTTTATGACATAGGAAGATTTCACACAATTTTTTTTTCTAATATTTCACTGCGACTGCAATATTTTATATTACATGAATATTCTAAAGAGAGCTATTTCTCTTCATTGGGATGGACAATTTCTTGCGAGATTTTTTATGTTAACAAGATATTCTAAAGAGAGCTATTTATGTTAATTTTAAATGTTATACTTATACCATAACCGTGTCATATCTTATAATTTTAAAAAATGTATCATATTCCAATATTTATGTCGTATTGTTTTTATGTGTCTCAAGTCATATTCAAACTTCTGATTACCAGATCTGGGTGCAGTGGCTGATGACCAGTTTTGAAAAATGGTACATGTTTTCTTTTAAAGTTATGTTATAATTGATACTGATTGAGTTTTCAAAATGAATATAACTTTTGGGATTGGCTGGATTTATTTCCGGGCTCAGCCACTGTCTAGGTGTTAACTTAGTTCTAAGCATGCACCTAGCAGGATTTGAAGTATTCTATAATGTTGTCAAATCCTTTTCAAACAACAAGAAGGTCCTGCATACAGTTGATATGTTGTGTGATCCGTATCACCTTTCGTATCTTCTAAATATGACAGTGACATTTTATCTCAATATATTTCTTATTTATAGTCTAAGGAAGCTAACCAGGCAACCACTTTTATATCACTCTATACTCTCAATTATTGCAAAAATGTATAGGTACGATGTATTTGTACGGGCCGACTATACGTATAAAACAGTATAGACAATAGGCCCAACACCGTTCTATGGTAGTTACAACTTACAAAATATTTTAAGTTTATTATTGTTATATAATATACGAGAGAATATTATCTAGGTAAAAAAATCCTTGATTGACTCTACAATTTTTTTTCCGAGTTAAACTTCCTTTTATAAAATCATGTGGACAATATGATATGATAATAGAATAGGTTGAGAGATAGAATTGGTTTAGTTAAATAATCTGTGAATCGATTGAAAAATTCAAATAAAGTGTTTGACTATGATCTATTAAACCAATGAAATTCAGATGCAAGTGTTTCTTATGTAACTTATTTTCTTATATATAGTAATTTGTTGTTGAATCATCACGTGGTACAGTGAAGATTTATACAAACGAAGATTGCCAAGAAGCAAAGTGAAAGATGTAGAGAAGCCTTTCCATTTATCTATCCAAGATAGGAACTCAAGATGCAAGTTTTCTTTCTTAAAACTTATCCTATTGATAACCATTTGCGGCACTTTTGTAACGCTCCTATACTCTCCGGAGGTTTACAATACCAACCATTTATCAAGCTCTAGCTCTCGGTAAGTACTATTTTACACTTGCAAATGCAACATTTAAGCATCTTTGCTCCATAGATTTTTCTTCTTCTTTTCACCCTAAGTTAATCCAAATGTGATACAAACAATATCTTTGTACGAAGTCAGGAAAAAACCAAATCACAATGCCAAATTTATGTAGTACAGACCTGATTACTTACAAAGCTGTTTAAATCTAATTTAATAATATTTTATTTTTAATCCATCACTATATATTTAGTTTTGTATTGTCCTTGAAAATGAAGAAAATATGAGAAAGACAATTACACATTAAAAAAAGGGAAAAACTATTCTCACGCTACATGAGATAACTTTTCCTTCCTACACAATCTTCGATAACTGTGCCACCTTTTTCTTTTCTTTTCTTTTTATTTTTTCAGGTGGTGGAGCCCACAAATTTGTCTCTATGACATAAGATAATTTATCTCATTTAACACGAGATTAATAAAACCCTTAAAAAAAATGGGGAATCCATCGCTACTGTTACAGGAAAAAGAAAAAATTTCCTGCAGCGACAATTTTTTGTGGGGCCCATATATTGTTTTTTCTCTCTCCTTGTATCTTTTCTCTCTCCCAAAATGTTGTGTCTACATGATAATATTTTTTTTCCAAAAATTAATAAGAGGATTAAGGGAGAGATCTTTTGACCCTAAGAATAAAAAATCTTATTCTCATCTCAGTTGTTGATTTCCGTGCATATGACGATTATAATATATTAAAAATTAATAACTAATCAATAAGTATAATTCAATAAATTATAATAATTAGATGTACGAAAATTAACTGTCAAAAGATCATTCCCCTTAATAAAGGTCAATTCAACCCAAAACCTTAAAGCATTGGGTGAGGCTAAATTAATTATTTTATATCTCTCTAAGACACCCCTTCACGTAAGAGCCTTTTAAGCTTGAAGTGTGGATATGACACAAGTCCATTATTAGTCTGTCTTGTACTGCACAAACTCATTTTTTTGGTCTGTCTTGTGTTTTTCTTAATTCCACCTGAGAGTGGGGGCGGTGACTGTGAGGATTGAACTCATGACCTCGTGGTCACTTAAACTCTAATACCATATAAACATCACTTCAACCTAAAATCTTAAAGTATTTGGTGAGGCTAAATTAATTATTTTATATCTCTCTAACTCTAAGTAGTAATTGGTTACTCCCTTAAAAAAAATCATCATTAGTCGTATGTCTTCTATATGGAATGGTGTAATATATTAGCAACTATCTCTCATAATTTTGTGAACAGGTGGATATGGGGTGGTTCAGATCCTCGGTATATGTCGAATATAGATACTGACTGGAATGATATATTGAAAATTACCGAAAAGCTGAAAGGTAAAAATGAATTTCAAGGGATTGGACTTGTAAATTTCAATAAGACTGAAACAAACCACTGGGAGCATCTTATTCCTGATGCTACACATGTTGTTCTGCCCTTGGACTATGCTGCAAAAAACATGACATGGGAGTCACTATACCTTGAATGGATTGATGAGGAAGAAGAAACTGAAGTTCCTGTTTGCCCTTCTTTACCAAGTCTTAGATCTCCTGGAATAAGACTTAATCTCATTGCTGTGAAGCTTCCTTGTCGTAATGGGGGGAATTGGTCTAGAGATGTTGCTCGTTTGCACCTTCAGCTTGCAGCTGCTGCTCTTGCAGCCTCTTTCAAAGGCAATTACTCCGTTTATGTTCTCTTTATTACCAATTGTTTTCCAATACCAAATCTGTTTACATGCAAAGAACTAGTTGGACGTGAAGGGAATGCATGGTTATACAGACCAAATTTGAGTGTTCTGAGAGAAAAAGTCCAGCTTCCTGTAGGATCTTGTGAACTTGCACTTCCTATGAGAGGCAAAGGTTAGTTTTACTCTCTTTTCGTCTCTCACATTGTTGAGACATAACATCATAATTATATGTCTTCAAAAGCATAGTCATTGTTAGAAGTTCAGGTGTGAATTGGTCAGAGATATACTAAGTAAGAACTATAAAAGTGAAAGGACCATAACTAAAATTTGGTGTTGAATCTAATTATTGTTATTTCTTACTTAGTCCATTAAGTGTGGCCTCTCCTTGTTTAAGATGTAGATCAGTTTTCCATTGCTGCACAAAATGGTGATTTTGATGATTTTTGAAGACCCTCAAAGTCAATTAACAAAAAAGTAGATTTGAAGAACCAAGAAAATGACCCTTTTCTTTTTCCTGCTTAAACATACTAGATTCTCATCCATGACCATGAGAAACAGACTTTCATCTTTGCAATTTGATTATTTTGCATGTACTATCATATTTTTGTCATTATATTTTTCTTATCATAAAGTTGACACGAATGGAATTGAATTAATTGGAAGCAGAGCTGGTATACAATGGAAATGCTCCAAGAGAAGCCTATGCAACAATTCTACATTCAGCTCATGTTTATGTTTGTGGAGCTATAGCTGCTGCACAAAGCATCCGCATGTCTGGATCAACTCGAGACCTTGTGATACTTGTTGATGAGACAATCAGTGGATACCACAGAAGTGGTTTGGAAGCAGCAGGGTGGAAGGTTAGAACAATACAGAGAATCAGAAACCCCAAAGCTGAAAAAGATGCTTACAATGAATGGAACTACAGCAAATTCCGGTTATGGCAGCTTACAGATTATGACAAGATAATATTTATTGATGCAGATTTACTCATACTAAGAAACATTGATTTCCTATTTGGAATGCCAGAAATCAGTGCAACTGGAAATAATGCCACTCTTTTTAACTCGGGTGTCATGGTTGTTGAGCCATCAAATTGCACATTTCATCTCTTGATGGATTATATTAATGAGATTGAGTCTTACAATGGAGGGGACCAGGGATATTTGAATGAAATATTTACATGGTGGCATAGGATACCAAGACACATGAACTTCTTGAAGCATTTTTGGATTGGTGATGAGGAGGAGAAGAAACAGATGAAAACTATGCTGTTTGGTGCTGAGCCTCCAATTCTGTATGTTCTTCACTATCTAGGTTTGAAGCCTTGGTTATGCTACAGGGACTATGATTGTAACTGGAATGCTGATATATTTCATGAGTTTGCAAGTGATGTTGCACATGAAAAGTGGTGGAAGGTGCATGATGCAATGCCTGAGCTTTTGCAGCAGTTTTGCATGTTGAAGTCAAAGCAGAAGGCACAGTTAGAGTGGGATCGTAGACAGGCTAAGATAGCAAACTATACAGATGGGCATTGGAGAATTGAAGTTAAAGATAGGCGCTTGAAGAAATGTATAGATAATTTGTGCAATTGGAAAAGCATGTTGAGGCATTGGGGAGAGACAAATTGGACAGATGATGAGTCTTACACTCCAACACCACCTGCTATTACCACCACATCATCTCTTCCTGCTTTATGAGTTTATCAGTTTCACTTTCAAATTTCCTTGCATTTGTTAAGTTTCTTAGTGTTAGGAAAAAGGGATAAAGGAAATCATTTTTCCTTATTTTTTTTATGTATAACAAATGGGATATTCTACAGTGTCGTCACATAAAAGTACATTTCATCACAATTAATTTTTAGAGGATTTTACCTGAGTGAATCAACAATGGAGAGGACTAACACACATAAAACGAAATTGCAGAACCGTTCTTTGACAAAATCCACTATAATAAGAAAACTACCACCCAACGAATGATTGTTAGTCACAATCTTACTAGCACATGTGGAACAAACGTAGTCCTTATAAATTAACTAGAGGTTCCGGGATTGAGAGTATTTGTTTTGGAAGAATAACATCCACACAATTTACACAGAGTCTCATTATACTTGCATAATTTATAGTATGAATAGTCTAACTAAAATTTCTGCACAAATGCACTCCAATGCAGCCAACTCTGATGTAAATAAATGTGAGTCTTCCAAACGGGTAACAAGCATTATTCTTTATTTTGAAAGTAGATACCCAATCGATTCCTAATACTGAATCAGACAGTGGAGCCATCACTGATTCACAGTAGATGGATTCATTTCGATCCTACGGCTGATAGAGCTATTTTCGAGACAAACATGCGGTTAATGAATTATCATAATACTAACCCAAGTACTTTTGCTATGAAATCGAATCTAATACTAATAGGGTTTTGTAACAAAGCCCATACTAATATTTCACTCCTATATGCACAAAGATTCTTTGTTTTTTTTTTTGGAATAGAACTTAAAGGCCCCATGGGATGGGATCTTCTATGATCTTTTTTTTTTTGTATAGAGAGGAAAAGCAAGAAAAACTACAATGACAACTTCCTGGGCAACATATTGCCCCTCCTATCATCAAAAACTAGACTTGCACATCCAGAAGGATAGCCACTGTACCACTGGGTATCCCAAGTCGACTTGATGCACCTTGTAGCCAGCCAATCTGCCACAAGGTTCCCTTCTCTATAGACATGACACACTTCAACTCTCCAATCTTCCTCCAGCAAAGATCTGATTTTGGAAATGACTGCATAACAAGGATGGGAGCTAACACATCCCTTTTTGGCAAGTTGGACTGCCACTAGGGAATCACATTCCAGGACCACCTTTTTAAAATTCTTCACCCAAACCCATTCAAGCCCAATTAGTAGGCCCCAGCATTCTGCCATTAATGAAGATTCTGGATAGATATTCTTTGAGAAACCCATGATCCACTCCCCTGCCTCATCTCTAACAACTCCCCCACACGAAGCCCGAGCCAAGTTCTCAGAGTAAGATCCATCAGTGTTAACCTTTATCCAACCAGCCCAAGGGGGAACCCAGCTGACTTGAATCTCAGACTGCAAAGGGACAGCAAGACCCGCAGCAGAGAGCATATTATTAGCCTCTCTGATATTGTTTGAAAAAATGGAAGCTTGGGAGAAGATCCCCTGAGGAGAAAGGGACTTACCATTAAAAACCAAATTGTTTCTATCTTTCCAAACCAGCCAGCAAATCACACCAAACTTCATCCTCCAACCCCTGTTCTTATTCATCCTGCCCAAATTCTTAGCCAACCAGGTCTCCATATCATTTCCCAAGAAGCTCAACATCTCATTGTTATCAATCCAACACCTCCAGACCTCCTGAACCCAAAAGCATTTTCTAAATATATGATCAGTATCCTCCACTGAGTTCTGGCATCTAGGACACAAGTCAATCATTGTCATATGCCTGTGAGTTCTTTCTTCATTAGTAAGTAGTTTGTTACCTGCTAATAACCATAGAAAAGACTGGATCCTAGGAGGACCTTCCCACTTCCAAATAAGATCCCAATTCCAAAGACTAGTACTCATGCCAGGACTAGAAATAAATCTGTATGCTGAATTCACAGTGAACTTCCCAGAGCTGGAGAGGGACTAGATTGCCCTATCAACTCCAGCAAGCCCAGTTGTGGGGTTTATCTTTCTTATGGCATCCAGAATGTCATTATTTAGAAACATGTTGAACCTGTTCCAATTCCAGCAGTCCCCTAAGATACAGCCAGACACCTTCCAATTCCTGCAAGCATCAGGAACACTAGAAGAGGTCCAGTCAATCAGCCTGCCAATATTAGGCACCCAGTTGTCGAGCCAGAATAAGGTATTAGACCCATCTCCAATGATAACTCTGGATCCTTCCAACACCTTATCCCAAACTTTCTGGATACCTCTCCAAGTATTTGACCCACCCCTGCTTCTTCTAAGATCAGGCTTGAAGGAATCATTAATTTTATACTTGCTTTTCAATACTTTCACCCAAAGATTCTCCTTGTTGGACAAGATGTCAAAGCCAAGTTTCATAGAGAAGGCTTTGTTGACTACCCTCTGGTCCCTGAAACCTAACCCTCCCTCCTTCTTAGATCTGCACACCTTTTTCCAGCTCACTAGGTGGACTTTCCTTTGGCTTTGAGAAGAACCCCATATGAAATCCCTTGTCATCTTCTCCATTTCATTACAAACACTCACAGGCAACACTGCTGACTGCATGGAGTAAGCAGGAAGAGCTTCTAACACAGATTTAGCAAGGTCAGATCTTCCAGCCAGAGATAAAGAGTTCTGGTTCCATTTAGAAAGCCTTTCTTGCATTCTGTCCAGAACATTTCTAAATGTGCATTTGGAGACTCTTTTATGCTGAATAGGGACTCCAAGGTACTTGCCCAGATCTGTTGTTATCTTCATCCCCAAAGATTCACTAATTTATTTGGTCTTATGATAGCAAACATTTTTCGAGAAGAAGACCCTAGTTTTATCCTTGCTCACCTTCTGGCCTGAAGCATCAGCAAATATCCTCAGAACTTGATTAATAGTATGAGCCTGCTCCAAGCTGGCCTCAGCACATAAAATAATATCATCTGCAAAATGAAGGTTAGAAATAGAAGGGGCCTTTTTCCTTAAGAAAATAGGTTTCCAGGCTTTTGAATCTATTGCCATCTGGATTAGTTGAGAAAACTTTTCCATGCAAAGTACAAAAAGAAGAGGGGATATAGGATCCCCTTGCCTAATACCTCTTTGAGGACATATTCCCTTAGTGACCACCCCATTCCATAGAAGGCTCATGGATACAGAAGAAACACAATGATGAATTAATTGACAAAGAGAGTCAGGAATTCCAATATCAATTAGAGTTTCAAGGATAAAACTCCAATCCAGCCTATTATAGGCCTTTTCTAAGTCAACCTTTATCAACATCCACCCTTTACCCCCCTTCTTGGACCTCATAGAATGGATTATTTCCTGAACAATGATGATATTATCATTGCCTTTCCTACCTCTAATGAAACTACATTGATTTGGGGAGACAATCTTAGGCAGCAGGTACTTCAGTTTACCAGTAATGATTTTAGAAATGATCTTATACACCACATTGCATAAGCTAATGGGCCTAAACTCCTTCATGTTTTCAGGACTTTCTTTTTTAGGAATTAAGCAGATTAGGGTACCATTGACACTCCTCACCTCCTCAGGATTAGCAAAAATGTTCTCAACTAGTTTGCAAACAGCATTCCCAACAGTCTCCCATTGACTTTGGAAGAAAATGGCACTCAGTCCATCTGGACCAGGTGCTTTAAACTTCCCCATCATAAACACTGTCCTCCTTATCTCTTCCTTAGAGGGTAATCTGGCCAGGTCCCTCAACTCAGCACCTGTTAAAACAGGGAATTTATTCTGGATAGGAAAATTACCCTCCCTCACCCCATCAGCTTTGAAAAGCTTTTGATAAAATTCAGTGGCCATATTAACCAGCAATTCAGTGTCAGATACCCAGTTTCCCTGATCATCTTTAAGAGCCACGATCCTGTTTTGCCTTCTCCTAGCAACAGTTGAGGCATGGAAGAACTTGGAGTTTTTATCTCCATACTTTAGCCATTGTATCCTAGATCTTTGAAACCACATCAGCTATTCTTGAACCAGAATAGCCTGCAACTTCCTCCACAATTCCTTCTGAAGTAATTCTGTATTGTGATCATATTTACCAAATCTATAGGAGTCCAGACCATTCAACCGAGAGTATAATCTATTTTTCTTTTTAATTTCCTCCTTGAATACATCCTGGTGCCAAACTTTAGCTTCAGACTCAAACTGATTCCTAGCATCCAACCAGTTTACATCCCCTTCAAAGCTATTCCTGACTAGATCATTGAACCTACTATCTGTTAGCCAAGCTGCCATGAACTTGAAGCTCCTAGTGTGTTCAACGGGAGCAGAGTGACCCCCATCACAAAGCAGAACAGGCCTGTGATCAGAATTATAATAAGGAAGGTGGGACACATATCTGTAATCCCAAGCTAAACTCCAAGCTTCATTGGCACACACTCTGTCAAGCCTCTCATGGAGTCTGCCCCTCTTCCATGTAAAGTCAGGGCCTTTGTACCCAAGATCGCTAATTTCACAATCAATTAGACATTGATTAAATTCCTCCATACTTTTATAGCAAAGATCCTTCCCCCCTATCTTCTCAGAAGCCTTGAGAATAGCATTAAAGTCCCCCAGAACCATCCAAGGACCAGCAACCCCAGAACTGATAGCCTCCAAATCAGCCCATAAAGATCTCCTCTCCAATCTCCTAGGACTACCATAAACAAAGGTGACAAACTCAGAAGCCAAGGACTCCAGATAGGACACCCTGGTGTGAATAAACTGATGATGATTATCTAACACTTGAACATCCACCATGCTACCTTCCCAAAGCAACCAAATCCCACCCGAAAACCCAACAGGATCCTGTCTATAATAATTAGGAAAACCCAGCTTCCTAATAATTTCCTCTCCCCTAGCACCACCAATTTTAACTTCAAACAAAGCCAAAATGCTAACTTTATATCTAAATTTTAGATCTTTAATGAGAATTGGGAAGCTACTCTTACCCACTCCCCTACAATTCCAAGCTAAAACAGACATGAATGGTAAATTTAATAAAAGAACCAAACTGTACAGAAAAAAAAACCCCAAGGTCACCTACTAACCTGGTGGGCTGACAACCCATCCACCAACTTGGAAGAACTGACTCCATCCTTTAGGCTAACAGGACTGGCATTATTAGCCAGAACAAAATAGAGCACTCCACTGGCTTCTTTTCTAGAACTGGTATTCACCATGCCCCCACCAGAAGGATTAGTGTCAGAATATCTGGACTTATTCCTGACTAGCCCTTTGATTGAACCATCTATAGCAGCATAAGGAGGTACATTCTCCACTCCGTACTTCTTCTGAGACTTAATACCAGTCTTGGATCTGTCCTTCCCCTCCTTCAACAAGGATTTCTTCACTCCAACTTCAGTAGCTCTGCCACTTTTCTGAGGGCTTTGAGAAGCCACTACAATATTGGTATCAGCCACCAGAGAGACCCCACCAACCACAGAACTGGTCACACAGCCCACCTCTACAAGGTCTTTCCTATTGTCATTGCTGGTATCCATGCCACTCATCTCTGCATCCAGATTAATCTTGGTAACCATCCCACTAGAACTATTACCCCCTAGATCAGAGTTAAGCTTTGGCTCTACCTTGGCCCCTTTAACAGGGCTGAGGGGTTTAGCCTTTAGTTTCCTGCTCTTGGGTTGCCTTTGGATCACCATCCAATTTCCAAAAGCTTCATCCTCTTTGACTATCTTTGGATCTGAAATAACATCCTCAGTTACCTTCTTACCCTGAACTACAGTTTCCATTTCCTGCTGGGTACAATGGACTTGGTCAATAGGACATTGGTCCTTTCTGTGGCCGTATACCCCACATTTGAAACAAATTAGGTGAAGCCCTTCGTATCCCACCTGATACACCTTGTTCCCTATCCAGAATTTAGGCAAGAAGGTCTTCCTCAAGTCTACCTCAACACAGATTCTGGCGAATCTAGCACGTTCAGTAATGACATCCTCACCAAACTCACTCTTCCTCAGGGAATTCCTGTCCACTTTCAAAGTGCGACCAAAGATGTTACCAATTCGCCATAAGTGACGAATGGTATACAGTTCAATGGGTAGACCAAGGATTCTCACCCAAACTGCCAGTTTTTTGACACTGTCGTCATAAGGATCGAACAAGGGCCTCCATCTTTGGATTACCACATAGTGGTCATTTACAATCCAAGGCCCTTCTTCGAGTACATGACGGTAATCACCATCCTCCTGGAATCTTAGTAACAGAAATCCATTATCCAAATCTATAGCTTCATAGGAACTCACCAGATTCCAGATCCTCTGAAGTCTGGACAACAGGAACTTGAATTCGATTCGCTTGCCCAGCATCTTGATGATCAGAGCCTTTCTCCACTTCTCGCAATCTTGCTTGTGTTCCTCTGCAGAGAACGTGTACCTTGGGCAAAGAGGATCCTCCTCCTCAATCTGACCCAAGCCTTCTAAACGATCCGCTTCCTCATCCTCGTGTTTCTGTTGCAAGATCCAGTTATCGTCTTCAGTATCCGACTGACCACCATTACCATTTAGCTTCAAAAGCTTGTCCTTATAGGACACCACTCTTGCCCGATTTCCACCGCTTCCCTCCGTCATCTTCACATCTTGTATCAGATGAACAAGATTACGACCTCCTGAATCAGCCGCATCATCCTCATTCATCTCCTCGTCCATCGTCAGATCCTCTGTAGCATCCCCTTTCGGTTTCTTCCCAGTCGGAGAGGGGTTCTCCTCCTCCGTCAAAACCCCACCTCTACCATTCCTAGATCCATCACCTTCTACTCGCAATTGTTGGTTAGCACCTTCAGTATCCATGATTCGAAATAGAAAGCTTAGAGAAAACCCTAGCAGACAGAAAATAAATCGCGCGCGTGAGGCTACGCGTTCACATCTCTATTTTATTTCCTTTTTTTGATTTATATCTTCTATGATCTTTAAAAGGGATAAAGACCAAATTGACACATTTTTAAAAATAAATTATTCAAATGTTATGTTTTAGAAAAATTTGTCAAAATGTTTTAGGACCCATTGTCAATCCTAGCAACTTGTCACATATAGTTTGAACAAGGATCCATTGTCAGAAATAAGAAAGGAAAAATGTTTCTGCAGTTAATGCAGATAAGTTATCTGCATTTATTCTCAAAACGACGTCGTTTTGATATTAAAATATTAAAAATTATAAATATAAAGACTATTATAACCCTGAAATAAATTAAAAATACAAAAACATTATGATTTCCGCCTCAAAACGACGTCGTATTAGACTTACTGTAGATAACTTATCTACATTAACAACAGAAAAAGGGAACCTAATAACAAATCTAAGACGTTGTTTTTGACAGTAAATATTGTTTGCGCAACATATGGCAAACAAACAATGTCTTTTATATTCTTGTTTGTGCAACATGTGGCAAACAAACAATATCTTTTATATAAGGAAAATATTTTTCTCATATTGCATGAAACAAATTATCTTATACAACACAAAAAAAAAATAAGTGAAACCCACTAAAAAGAAGAGAGAAAAAGAAAAAAGTGAATCCTACTCATTTTTATGTGTTGCATGAGATAATTTGTCTCATACAGTATGAGAAAAACATATCTCAATAATAAATCCCTTTAAACTAACAACCGATCTTAAAGTGTGACATTTTATCAAAAAATAATAAAATTATATCCTGACATTTGGATAATATATTTCGAAAAATATGTCAATTTGATTGTTTCCCATCATTCTTTCTTTTCTGTTTTTTTTGAATACATTGTTTCCCATCTTTGAAATACAACATAATCACCCTTGCAAGTCATGCAAAGGAAGCAGGTGAACCAATTAATTTCTTTCAAAGCGTTTAAAGACCTTTCGGCATCATGTGACTACCTGCTATATTTGGTCAAACCTCCGCCATTATAAATACATAATGTCGGCAAGTAGATCATCAGTCATCACTGTGAAATACATACAAGAAATGAGGTGGCGTTTATGATTAAAGCTGCACCGGTGCAAATCTAAAATAACATAATATAATAATTTTTAGTATTCATAGGAGTTGATTGTCCTATTTATGTTTTAGTTCAACACAATTGGAAATTGCATCTTAGTCCATCATCTGCCACTTCCTCTTTCCTCTTTATGCCTAATTCCAAAACTTGAATCACCTTCGGTGCTATTCAACTCACCACCTATTTGGTGACCTTATCGACGGCACTGGCGGCAGGAGCAACTGTGACTTTTGCCTTTTTTGTCACTTTCTTAAACACCCAAATGAAATCCACCGGAAGCAAACCTGTTTCAACAGAGGGTATTACAACAAAAGATCACAAATTTGGAATTTCTCCAAATGGCTTTTGAAATCTTCATTGTATTGGCAGTAGTTACAAAGTGGGTGTTAAAAAAATTCCCCATTTACTGATGCCTCCTATTCATCGCTCTATGATCCCTCCTGCTCCCTCCTAGGAAAAGCTAATAACTGAGATGATTAATCCAATCATCTCCTTGAATGAAACTGTGCACTGAATACGTGAACACATGCTCAGCCGGGACCTGGCTACTCCATGGTACCCTATGAGTCAAATTAGAACCAGGTCCCGAGTTCTCAAATTCCCCATAGTAAAGTGTATTCAACCCAAAATCCCCACTCCATGGCATCCAACCCTGTGGTGTGATAAGGGCTTCCAAGAATGAATGAATGAAAACTGTTCTAGAATACTCCTTCCAAGGCCTACCCAGGTAGTTCTTGTGCACTTCAGGCTTGCTGTAGTACAATTCCATATATTGCTCAGTACCATTAACCAAGCAGTTCTGGAAAACAAAGCCTGTTGACTGAGCAGGGTCTGTCCTGCCATGCGCAGTAATGGCGTTGCTCTCGCCCTTCCTCGGCCTGGTTTGCCTCGGCCGGACAAGGATTTGGCAGTCTTGGAAGATTGAAGCTGAGTTTCCAAAGATGAAGTCCACATTGCCAATGATACGGCAAGATTTATAAAATTGGCGCAGGGAATGAGCATAAAGGGTATCTTGATTGCCTATGAATTCACAATTCTCAATGACAGAAAGATCACTGTCTGATCTGAATGCTACTGCTTGGTGAGCATTAGCACCTGCCGTGTTTTGGATTGTGAGATCCTTTGCCATGAATCCATCACCAACAACCCCTGCCAAGTTAATTAATTAAACTCATTAAGAACACATCAACACTATGCTCTATGCCTCTCATCCTACTAAAACAACTCTACACATGCCATACTTCTTCAAACCTGTGAAAGTTAAAAGTTTAAATTTCACCAACCATTTTCAAAATGAGTTGAAATCAAATAAATCAAAACAACTATCTCCTGGAATCTAGAACAAACTTCATTTTAAAATTCAACAGCTATTTAAACAACTAAACACATTTTCTCATTATTCTAGCAAAATGGAATTTCTTATAATGTACAAACAGGGGAATAATGAAGTAATGAATAAAAACAGCTAAACCTTAAACAAAACAAACTCACCTACGGTGGCTGAGTTGTAGGTTGTCATCCCAGGCTGAAGCCCCACGTTTGCAGACCCAGTGATGACAGTTTTACCAATGCCATCACCCAAGAACACCACATTCCTCTTCCTTAACGGAACCCTAACCCTCTCTTCATAAACCCCTTCCTTTATGTGTATCACAAACAACCGTTCACCGACGCTGACGTTATCCGGCGCCGCATTAACCGCTTCCTGAACCGTCTTATAACAACCTTCGCCACCGTCCTTACACACCTTAACGTCCGGCGTAAGTTTCGCGGGCAACCCGGGTCCGGACCCGAACTCTCCCGACCCGGAAGCCTCCCAGTAACCGTCGCGCTCCGTGAACGGCGGCCTCCACAATGCGGTGTCGTTCCCGAAGCGATCGTACGACACCATCATGTTGAGCGCGTTGCTGGAGACGCCGGTGAGGGAGTCCAGAAACGACATCGTTTCGGCGACGGATGCGGTGTCGTTCGCGTACTTCAACCCGGACCAGCAGTTGTACTGGTAGGCCAAGGCGGCGCTGAACCATGCACGGGAGTCCTTGGTGTTGCCGCGGGGGAGGGCGTCGGCGGCGAGGGAGGTCCGGTAATGGGAGTAGTGGAGGACCTGGAGGCAGCTCTTGGCGACGGTGGCGCGTGTACGGTTGTTTGCGGAGGCGTCGAGGATGGACTGAACCATGGATCGTGCGGTGCTAAGGTTTTCGTAGGAAATTGCCATGGCGGATTGGAGGATTTGGAGAGGGGTGGGGTTGTTAGGGAGGTGTTTGGATTGGGTGAGTGAGGAGTGGCATTGGAGAGGGAATCGTGTGGCCTTGCAGGCTTGTTGGATCTCCAGAGAGAGTGGTTTGAGGAGGAGGGTGTGGTTGTTGGTGGCGGAGGAAAGAGAGAGGAAGAGAAAGATGAAGAGAAGGGATGCCATGGAGAGGATGATGAGGGTGGATCTGGAGATTGGAAGGAGTGTGATGGGTTTAGTGGGTTTTCTAATGTGGGTGAACATCGTGGTGGGTTGGGATGAATTGTAGGAATTTATGGAAGTGGTGGTTTTCATTTTTTTTTTTTTATTGTTGGGTGTTTGGTTAATAATAATGGCTTCCAAATAATGGTTAATAACTGTTTTCTTTTAAACTATATATATATTTTTACTTTTTTGGGGGAGTGATACTCTGATGGTGTGTTTTTTCTGTTATGGTTACTTCATCTCGTTGAGAGGGGTTTTGCCAGTTTGGTGTTTTTTGGAGGCTGAGGAATTTGTGTGTCTCTCACTCACTCACTCAGAGTCATAAGCAGAGGTTGGAAGAGAGTTACCGTAGAGGTTGGAAGTGGTGGATTTTTGATTCAAAGCATAAAAATGATGGTCAATGTGAATTGAAGGATAGCGGGGTAAGACAAGATTGAAGAGAAGCAAAGGTGATTAATGATTAAGATGGATGGGTGTGAACCTGATGGGGATTCGTAGAAGGTAGAAGAAGGGTATGTGGAACGGAGTGACGGTGGTTCATTTTGATTGGGATGTATGCGAGTAGGGGTGATAAACAAGCCTGCGATCTTTCAGGGGTCTTTAGCTCGGCTCTGAAGACTTGAGCTTACGAATAAATCTTTGGTACTATTGTTGTACCAAAGATTCAGTACATCTCACCAATGAGAATATTACATGCTAGCTAAAATTTTATTTTTTCTGTCAGATTTTTTTTTCTCTTCTAATGTATAATGCTCTCATTGATAAGATGCACTGAATCTAGGTACAACAGTAGTACCAAAGATTTATTCCTGAGCTTACATGTCTAATATTGGTTGTTGGAACCAGGCTTGGACTTGTATAAAAGCTCGTTTAGTAAAAAGGTCTCAGGGTCCAATTCAAAAGCTCGGCATTGGAGCCTCTCAGGCTGGCCTAGTATATTATTTTATTTTTTTATTTATATTTTTTATACTATTTATAATAGCCCTCTCTCTCCTCTCAATCCATTTCACCCTTATTTTATTAGTTAAACAGACTTTTTGAATGATTTTGTTCTATATTATGCTCTTTGGATATACATTGAATTTATGAATATTTATGGAATTACTAGTGTTGTTGGTTGTATATTATGTTTGGATAAATTTTTGTTATCTTATTCTTTTCTAACAGGCTAACAGGCTAAATCAGGCTTTTATTTTTTGTAAATAAAGTAGGTCACAGGCCGATAATTATATTTGTAACAGGTAACAGGCTTGGTAAGGCCAACACATTTAAACACAGGCTTAGCCTTTTATGACCAAAGCTCGGCTCGGCACGGCCCGTTAACACCCCTATATGCGAGCGATTGGCGAATCTGGACTCTATTTTCATCCTGAGTGTGTGAAAAGTTAAAACGATAGTCAAGTGTGGCTAACAACTACACACAAGTACAACATTGTCGATTCAACCGAGGACTGGGCGATCCCTAGGGTAGTGTTTGGTTCGGGAGAATTTTTTTTTTACTAGGGAAATGTAATTGATAGAAAAATGGTTGGAAAGTGAGTTTGATAGGAAAATGTAAAAAAAATTGTTTGGTTGACCCAAATATTACCAGGAAAATTTATTTAAATATGCAAAATCTATGTTCGGGAGAAACTTTGCACCTGTTTTTTCACTTCCCCAGTCATCTCAAAATACCACATCTCAAGTGGTATTCTGTAACAGTGAATTTCATCTAAAAATCAACACAAAAGTTATTTTCCCATCTATCATATTTGCCTGTATTTCTTGAAAAAACCTGAACCAAACGTGGTATTTTTCAATATCCACCTACACTTTCCCATCAATCCTAAAATAAATCTTCAACCAAACACTACCTAGGAGAAAAGTTACTATGCACCCGGTGCAATTAACCTTTTTCTAAAAATAGAAAAAAAAACTAGGACATGGAAGGAAATACCTAAAATGATAGGGATAAAAGTGTCATAAAAAATTTCTTATTTTGAAAAATGAAACACTGAATTATGGTGCAGCGGGTCTATGTTAACTTTTCTCGATCCCTAGACCCTAACCAATGTTTTACATAAGTATTACGTTTTTTAAAACTTTCACTTTAAATTATCTCTCTTCCATCTTTGTTTCTCAAAATGTTTCTCTTTGTTTTTTTTAGGCGTTTATAAGGGGGAAAAGGCACTTTTTTAAGATTTTTGGACGAAAGAATTATCTAGTTAAATTTAATTGGATAAGTTTTTTTAAACTACATGTCACTGGTATTGACGGGACTAGTTCGTCAATGATACTGACGAGACTTGTGTTATGTCAGCGTCAAGTAGGCAGTTTCGTTATCGTAAAACTTCGTCAGGTCATAACTTTTAATTCGGATATCCAAATCAGATATTTTTTTTATTTCACATAACTTTTCGATATCTACGCAATGACACCTTATTTGACTTATCTCCCACAAATATAGTTCGAATTTGTAACAATTGTACCACAATCACAAGACTTTAAATCCAGAAGATGGCACGTGTGGTGGCTCATAATGTTGGTTCGGAAAGAACTCAGCATCTTATGAATTTAAATGATCTTGTAATTGTGGAACTATTGTTGCAAATTCAAACTATATTTGAGGGAGATAAAATATGTCAAATGAGGTGTCATTGTGTGGATCTCGAAAAGTTATGTCAAATAAAAAAAATCATCTGATTTGAATACCCGAGTCAAAAGTTATGTTCTTCCGAAGTTTTAAGGTAATGGACTGCCTACGTGGCGCTGACATGGCCCAAGTCCCGTCAATATCAGTGACTGAATTAGTTTGGAAAAACTTATCCAATCAATTTTAACTGGACAATTCTTTTGCCCAAAAGTCCTAAAAGGGTGCTCTAGCCGTTTATAAGGTTTTATTTTATTTTATTTAATTTTCAAATAACTGCTTTATATATTTTTTTGGGCTTTACTAATATCTCTTTGTTCAAGTCCTTTCAATTTTGGGTTGCTGATTAAAAAAAAAACTAATATCAATAAAGCATTAGTTTTAAAGTGATATCATTTTAAATTATCTATCTTCCACGTTTAAAGTGATATTAGAAATGAAAATAGTACGTTCATTTCTTTGTATTTACAAGGACTTGAACCCAAGACCTTAATTAAATGGAATAAAGCATGTACCACTTAAATCAATCATTTTGTAATTTACTCGAAAACCATACAATTTATAATGTGAAAAGTAAATTACCAATTGAAAGATAACTACCAATTAAACTTGAAAAGAAAACAGCCTATCACATTATGGACGACATATCAATAACAGACCATGATCCTAAACATGAAAATACCCAACTCCTAAAAATTAAAAATTAAAAATAAAATGTTAAATGCACTCCTAAGCATGATCTTTAACACTCCTTCTTCTTCCTTAGATCTTCAAATTTGCTTGAAGACGATGACTTTTTGAAAATAAATACCCACTAATTTTTGGACTTGAAATGGAAAAGTGTAGTTTCTTGTTCTTGTTCTTGTTCTTGTTCTTGTTCTTGTTCTTCTTTTAACTTCCCTTAAAAAAAACTTGATTTTAAAATGCTTGGTTTTCCTGTTAAAGATTGGATTGTGAGAAATAACTTGATTAACTACAGATGTAGCCCATTACAAAATTAACTATATCTCTGACATGATGTTGTGGAAGATATTACCCACGTTTTGAGGAATTGCAAACATGCCTCGTTTATTGGAGAGCTTGGTTTGTTGGAGACCCCCCTGTAGGATTACTTGATATCTGGATCAAGAAAAACTTGTGTGGGGAATAGTGTAATAGACAGGTTTTTGCTTGGTCTGATATCTTCATCACAATAATTTGGCATCTTTGGAGTTGGAGGAATAATGAGATCCACAATCTTCACTTTAGAAGACCCCTTAATCCCATCCTCTTTATCTCCAATTACATCGCTGAGGTTAAAAGGGCGCAGAGGTTGAACGTTACTCAAGACATGGGCAATCTAGATATAAGACATGTTAGTTGGACACTCGTTCCACATGGGTGATGGAAGATCAATGTGGATGGGACGGTGAACCCCAATACTAAAAGAGCATCTTATGATAGTTTAATAAGAGATGATAAAGGTTCTTGGCTGGCACGTTTCACGTATAATATAGGTATATGTTCTCCCTTGGTTGCTGAACTTTAGGCAATCTTGAAAGGTCTTCAAGTGGCGTGGGACTTGAACGTTAAGTTTTTGCTGGTTGAGAGTGATTCCTCAAATGCTGTTAAGGCGCTCTCTATTAGAAGCATTTTAGCTGCTGATAACCAGTTGGTTAATAGTATTAAGGAATGGCTTAATCGAGAGTGGCATATTCAACTTATTCATACGAGAAGAGAGGAAAATAGATGTGTTGATTGGTTGGCAAAGTTATGAGGTCATCTTGAGGAGAACACGTTTGTTCATTATGAGATACTCTTTGGTCTGGGTCCTTTGCTGGCTCATGACATTTGTAATTTAGTTGATTAGTCTTTTGTGTTTCTGAGCTTTGACCCCTTTGATGTACTATAATAAAAACTACAAAGGTAGCCGCTATAAATTTAGCTTATGCTATGAACTATTCTACAACAACATACTTCTTAGGATACCATGAGAAATTTCCTGAACCAAGATTAAAACAAAAATCAAAGGTACTTTTCATATCTTCCAGAAAACCTTCACAATCACTATAAAAAAATTCCAAATAGCTTAGAGTTTTGACCTTTCTTAAACTTCACACAAAATCAATTGTTATTTTTATGTATCATATTACTCTTTTTGTTTATCTTAAGTGCATTTTGATAGCACAATGCATAAAATGAGATAAGAGAATTACAAAAAATAAAACATATGTCTTTATGTTGTGAGGTACATTAGACAACCAATCAAACTTTGAAAGTAATATTTTTCAACTTCATGAGTCCCATTCTCTTGCTCAAGCTCTTCTTTGTAGAAAATCAATTTTCTCCTCCTTGATTGGTTCAAATAAGAAGCTTATGTGTAATACCTTAATATTATACGATATAGAATTGAGTT